CCACTGACCAACCAAGAACCTGCTTGCGGTATATCTCATGCCCAAGTTAGGGTGGCAGTTGGGCAGTGAATCTTGGAACAACACAGAAAGTACTGGGAGGAGACACCGCGACTCCATACCGCAAAGCAGTTGGTGGGACCTCCACAAGCAGTACGTAAAAACGAACTGCTAGGTTTCAGCAGGCAAAAAATAAGGAGGATAGTGGCCTTTTTAACAGGACCATTGCCGATTCCTTTTTCCCTGTTCGAGCTGTTAAATGGAAATGTTTTTGGCTCATTTCTGTTTCAGTGGCTTCTTTTTTCGCATTTTTTGTTTATATTGGCCTAATATTGCATTGTATATGTATATGTATCAATAAACAATTAACGTATCTTTATAAATGTTTCGAAACAAACATACAACCTGGTTTGTCTTAAATTAATATCTAAAGCCGTAATGCTGATTCATATGTACAGGGTTATTGATTGAACTTTGGCTTTAGTTTATTTTAAGATAGTAACAATTAATACAGGGTGTCTCAAACTCAAGTGGCGGTACAATTTCGGTTTATATTCGAACTATAGGCAAAATTCCAATCGTCTTGGATAGAAATTTTCTATATTGATCAACTGTTTTTGAGATAATAACCATTTACATATTCGGGCATTCCATTTATAAAAATGTGAGTTTGGTCAGGCACTTGAATTTGAGACACCCTGTAGCAATTGTTATTATCTTAAAATAAACTAGATGTCAATATCTACAACTTTTTAGATAATGTTTTGTTCTAAATTTTAAATTAGCTGCAAAATCGAGGTGGCTACAGTTCGATCAATATTGGTAATTAACTCAAAAACAGTTAAAAATCACTATTGAACATTTACATCGAATGGGCCTAGAATTTTCAGAAGAGCTCGAATATGCAATAAAAAGGACGGTATTCCATTTAAAAAAGGCAAGTTTGGTCTGCCACTTGAATTTGAGATACCCTGTAGCAATTGATGCTATCTTAAAATAAACTAGACGTTAATATCTACAACTTTTGTATTTAACATTTTTCTCTAATTTTCAAATTAGATGTTAAAACGGAGTGGCCAAAGTTAAATCAATAACCTTGTACATATATTTCCAACGTAAAAAAAGCAGCGGGTGAATATTTTCCAAATAATAATGTTCTACCTGGATGTGTTAAGCAAGACCATTATCTCGTTTAGATTTAACGTCGCATTGTTTTTTTGCAAAAAGACAAAATTTACTCCTAAGTGTTTTATTAAAACCACATTACAAACTTAAGCAAAATCATCATTAACAAAAATAAAACACATTGATATTAAAATAAAAAAAGAATAAATATTTGTACCTCTACTAAATACACTTTCTCTTTTTCATAATATCAAACATTCGATCACACTTAATTGCCATATTGCTTTCGAGTAAATTTTAAGATTTACAATATTCGAGCTTAATTTCATTCCTTAGTCCTTTCTGAGAAGTTTCGATTAATTGAAAATATTGTATTCAAAGCAGCTAAAATTCCTTGCATTTCCGCGACATTATAAAATAAATATCATCAAGTTAATATCAAAGATGAGCTGTACTAAATTATTAAATTTGGACTTTTAATATATTTTAAAGTACTTGTGAAGTAAAGCACTACAGATCTAAAATTGATGAGATTCACAAAAATGCAAGGATAAAATCAAATGCAAACATTTGCAATCATCAAAGTTTACAGAAAAATATTAATTTGTTATAATTAATTTCTATAAACTGTGATTTCATTTTACAAAAGAATACAGCTTGCTGCATACTTCTGGCGCAATATATAACCTGACTTTATACTCATAAGTACAAATTGATTATAAAGATACAATACATGGAATGTAGCTGAACATTACATAAAAAATGCAATGAAGCTGAATGCAAGTGTCACATAAATGGAAAACAGGAAACACTTCCAGTTCGATAAAAATCAAATACCTTGTGATTAATCACAACAATTTGTCTAACACCCCTGTCCAAATAAACTTTTCAAATTCTGAAAGCATGAAGTTAATTAGTTATTGAATATTTTTGAGCACGATTTCTTCTTACAGCAATTATTCTTCAAAAAAATGATTTTAACTTTAATGAAATGTCTTACAATTTCAAAGGCAAATGTTTCCACGAATCAAAATGTTACTTACTCCGTTTGCATTCAGTTAGAACACACTTTGATAAGCTCCATTAATGTTGTGTTAAACCCTTAATAATAGGCGTAAGTACCTTAAAATCATGGGGAGATCACTTTCGACAAACTGTACTGAAGAATAAAGTAATGAGAAAATTTATTATCATCTGATTAATGATCACGGTGAATCGGTGAAGTAAAAACGTGTTCCAACAATAGCTATGGACACATTACAATTCTATTTGAAGACGAAACTGTTGACTTGCTACTTATAGCATATGCGCTGAAACTATGCAAGCTATACTAACTAAATTTGATGCATTTATATAGCAACAATAAAACTATATTTTTTATTAAGTATTCAAGATCGTTTTGAGAATGCCAAAAGTGTGGCATATGTGATATGCAGAGTACAGTCTTTTCAAACATAATTGACATGTGCGTAAAATATACGGGTGTGTGAGGAAGTCAACAGTCAAACTTAATCGTTTATAAGATGTAAGTGAGCTACACTAAAATTTAAATTACTTTAAAATCTTTTAAATGCAGTCAACTTACTATAGATGGCAATGAACTAAATGTATTACTAGGTATAGATCTAAATTAAAAATTAAGTTTTAGTATTAGGAAACATCTGCTAAAGCTATTGAGTGTAAAATTTAGAAGCTTGTGAGAAATTACGCGATAATTAGTAACAATTTTTTTGGAAGATATGTGGTTTGTGGAAATATTGCCATTCGGGACATAATTCGTAAGATCAGCCAAGTATTTTAAAAGAGATTACCATTATTCCATATATTTTGCTAACAATTTACCTAATTATCCAATTAGTGTTTAGTAAAAAATATATATTGTTCCAATTATTGTACAAACTTTGGATTCCTTACGTTAGCAATAATTATATTGTTTTTAAATATTTTTAATAATTGAGCGACCAAGTGGCGTATATCGAAACAACGCTGATGTGTAATAAATTCAACATCAAGTTTAAATCTATTGAGAAAATTCATGTACTTACATTTACAAGGACAGATCCCTGAGTGTGCATACATTAAATATAGACAGTTTCTTATTTGTTAGCGCATTTAGAATTTGTTCCACGTTAATACTCCTTAAATTTAATTAGTGTTTTATTGACAAAAATTGGTAAAATACCAGTTCGCGTTTGTACACCAAGAGGAACCTGTCACTGAAAAAATGTTCTAGTGATTGCTAAGATACATAAACTCTAAACTAAATTAGAGCAACTAAAACTTTAAGTAACTCAAATAGGCAGGAATAAATTATAGATTGATTGCACTAAATGTGGCGTCGTTTAAGACCAGGATCAGTTTCGTTCTCAGAAAACTCATTTTTGTATTCAGTAGCTGCCATCGAGGCTTTAGCAGCTACGTGTGCTTCCAGTGCTTCTTTCACTAACTTCATTGTTTTCGGTGAGTTAGGTGGAGGAAAATCATGTGCTGTTGCAGAACTGAGATTTCGTGAATGGCAACGTGAGTGACCTCGACTATGAAGTCCTTCAGCAAATACTGAAAACAAAAAACAAATTCATTTAAAAATCTATACTAACAATTTCCTTTTTTCACTTACGCTTGTCTAAACTGATTATTGATCCTACAATTTCATTTGCAGATATGACCTTATCTTCGTCAATCATTTTTCTTCGACGTACAAGCCACCAATCCGTTAAAAATATTCCTAATGCAAGAATTTTTATTCCCGCACATAAGCCCACATATCGGTAGCGAAATTGCTCTATATCGTATAGAAGACAACGTCCTAAAATGAATTAAAAACATGTTACTAGAAATTCGTATTCGTGAGCAAAATATAGCAGTAGCATTTCAGTAGCAGTATTCACAGTTTCCACAATTAACAAAATTATTTTGTTGTGTAAATAAAATCTTAATAAGCACATGATCAGAACGGTACTGCGACAATCTTAGGCTCAAAAAAGACGATCTGAGTTAGTTTTTATAAGGAAAAAAGTATCGAACTTCTGCTATTGATGGAAAAAGTTCTTCAAAAAAACTGTTTTTTGAAATATCGGGGGAATGATACGATGAATTGATGAATTTTAATGCAACTCGCTGTGAATTGATTCTTATGTAAGACTCATATTTAGATGAAGTAGCCGAGTCCATCCAGTTTGGGCAAGTGGTGAATTCCTGAGTGTCTTGATACAAAAATTATCAGAACTCTGTAGTTCGTAGCTGAAATTAACTATTTTTTTTACATAAAGCTACTACTGGGCATGATCAGTTTACTGCAGAAAGCGTTTCTAAAATACAAGCAATTTTACCTCATTGTGTCAACGTAAACTTGATTTTGCCGCATTACAATTATATTGGGCGGTGTACTTCAGAGTCGGATTTAATTGGTCATATTAGGTCTGGGTAACACAGTGGATTTTCAGGTGTTCACTTAGCGACACCGATACGGTTTGCCGTATCGATACAGCGACATAGCGCGCCACACTTTTTATATGTTGGGAACAGTTATAACAGGAAAAGACGCTGTGTTTCGTAAGTTCGCTAGCGGTGCTTTTTTGGTTTTACTGAAGAGAGACTATGACACATGCTGGTTGCGTTGTTTTAATAAATGGAATGAATGAAGTCGCAACATGTTGTCTTCTTGTAAAACCTATTTGTCCCATAAGTATCTGTGATTTTAACACAGGTAATTAAATTTCGAAGCTGCTGAGTCAGCCATAAATTATGACCGAATGACTTTTGCTCCTTTATGTGACAAAACCATTTAAATTAGTTTCTTGACCTTTGCAGGATTTAAAGGCAGGAATTTGCCATTTTGCTTTGCTGAAATATCGAAATCCCATATGTTGTACTGATAGTTCTGCTTGGTCCAAAAACCTTAAATCATCAGATATATCAATCAGATATTAATGTATTTCAGTCGTACCTATACGAGTGAATTTTGCTGAGGAATAAAGTACCTTCATTTTTCACAATATCGAACATTGTTATTAAGGAAAGTTGATCAGAACTGAAAACTACGTTCCATTATGCAATTACATCCAATTATATGAAAAAAAAATTACATTTTCTGACAAACCTCGGATACGACAAAAAAAAAAACATAATTGTATTTCAAATTTTAGAACATGCAGAACTTTTTATGAAGAGTAACTTTTTAAATTGATTAATAATTAGTAACATTAACAAAAAAAAGTTTCCCATATGAAACCAATTTAAACAAACAAAAATAATAAAACTTGATGCTCATCATAAGTAGGTGCTCTTATGATTTAGAATGAATTAGATAACTGAACGTATTTTTCAACTCTAATCAACTTTTCTTAATAACATTTTTCGATATTGCCAAAAATAAAGATCCTTTATTCTTGAGCAAAATTCATATTTTCTAATATGCCTCGTATACGACTGGACAAAAATCTGATGGTTGCGTTTTAGGTTTTGATACAATCAGAACTTTTAAAGAAGAATAACTTTTTCCTTAAAATTAATCATAAAAAGTTTCCCATATGATGCGAACTTAAGTAGATGACACTGTATATAACATGTAGTAATAAGGGTTTCAAAATGCGATAAAATGTGGGACTATCTCGGTAGCTTCGAAATTCCATAATCGTTCGTGCGGCTTTATAACGTAATATACGAGGGCCGTCTGATAAGTATCGCCAAATTGCGCCACTATCACAAGATAAATTTACTATCGTAGACGGCTACTGTCAAAACTGTGAGGAAACGGGCATCTGCGGACTTCAGAAAAATGGGAAAAAAAGAAAAAAGCAATATCGGTCGGTCATTTGATTCTTGTGCCTGGAAGGAAAATCACGAAGCGAAACATAGAGTCCTTGGATAGTACCGTGAATCTACTCCTTCGATTGCGACTGTCCAAAATTGATTTAAGGAGTTTCAACGTGGCCGCATGTCGGTTTTTGATGTCGCAGATTTTGCGGTTTGATAATTGCAGAAAAAATGGCCCGATTTGGCGAAGTAAAAGGTGCTCTTCTACCATGACAACGCACCGGCTCACACCTCCGCCGTCGCAAGGGTCAATTGGGCTACGGTCTGGTGCCTCATCCACTATATTCTCCAGATTTGGCCCCGTGTGACTTATTTTTGTTTCCAAACTTGAAATTCATTCGCCGGGCAGAAATTTCAGTCGAATCGGTCGAAGGAGGTCATTGTCACCACGGAGGCCTACTTTGCAGACCTCGACAAAAATTATTTTTCAGACGGGTTATGAAGTTGGAGCATCGCTGGGTCAAGTGTATCGAATTAAAAGGAGGTAAGTAAACGACTGTTGAGAAATAAATCGCCACTTTTCCAAAATTTTTCGTTTCCCTGCCGAGAGGGTCGGAAACCATATGGTAACTGCACGTGGCCTTACGAAGTGCAATCCGAAGTCTGCCACCTTGAATGCAATTTAATGTTAAGTGTTGTTCAAGGTGATGCGTCGTAGGAGGCGAGGTACACACAGAGCGCCATACAACTGTCTAAAGACAAAGTATTACCCAGGCCTAGGCCATATTCTTGGGTGTCTTATTTAGATTTATTTCCATTCTATGAAACAAGCTCTTTTTAGCAGACAGTGTCGATGCATCGCCGGTATATTGACTGTTTAACCCTTTCACTACTAACAGCAACTTCGAATTCGTCAACTGCGTGCGGCTCAAATAAGAGCCAGCGTATATCTACGTCTGGAGCAGCAATATGTTGTTGCGTATAAGTACGTCTAGTGCAGCGGAAAGTATTTAGCCTTATTTTACGGTAAAAAGGATCGCATTGACATAAACTACGCGACGCAACCACCTGCAGGTAAGGCGAAAAAATAACTCGTGCTAGAATGAGCAATACGGATCATAAGTTTAAATTCTCGAAGCGCGTATAAATACGTCTTGAGCATTGAACGTATAAAAAAATTTGAAGCTGCAAATTGTCTCTAAATAAACTTTTTTAGGTATTGTAAGTCCTTAATGAGGACACATAATCTGAAAAAAGTTCAATAATGTGACTAAAATTGCTTGCGTAAATATACGTCTAAAGCAGTTAAAACTTCGGCGTATATATACGTCTGGAGCAGTTTAAGGGTTAAAGATGGCATTTTGACGAATAATGTTAATGACGAACGATCAATTTCTGAAGACTCTGATAGTGATGAATGTACATGTTGACATGTAAGTGAAGATTTTCAATATCTAAAATTTTGTGTACTTCCATACTTTCCCTGGACATCCGTAATTGAAAAATGAAAATTAAAAAAAAAACCAATGAACTAAATATGTTCAGATGAGTTAAATTAATTAAACTAATTTACTAATTGAAACACGTTTTTAAAAATATGTTTACCCATATTAACGCCAGTTTTCATCCTTATCCAAGTTAGATCATATACATATATATATATCTAGTATTTATTAAAAAAAAAAATTCAATATATAGGAGTAACAAACCTCCTTTTGAGCCGCAAGTGCTCTTCCAAAGCAGGCAAGTGGAGTCGATAAGGTTTCCGAAAAGAATGGGAGCTGGAATATACCCAAACAACCTGAATATCACAAACTGCATACCTAAAGCAAATGATCTTTCTTCTTCACTAACAGATCTGTAATGAAGACGACAATGAACATTTTGTAAATTTAAGAATTAAATTTGTATTACCTTAATACTATCATCAATAAAGGCATCTGCGTGATTGCCACGATAAATGTCATAAAAAATAGTAATATTAAAAATGGATATATGGTATGACATTGTGAATTACATGGTCCTGCCGTAGCTACAGGCACAATGGTCACCTCCGAGAAATCATTCTCTAACGGAGAAGCGTAATTTATGGAAGATCCATTTTTCAAGCTCATATTTCCATGAATACCTGAAAAACATCGACAGTATAACACGAAGAATTGCATTATTGAAATAAACGTGAACCTACAGGCACAGTTGGTGTAATTGGAGCTCAAAATCGATGTACATCCCGCATGACAGGGACTAAAATAAGTCAGCCCATTGTTTCCACAAACAGGTTCGACATCATTCATGCTACATTCGCAACCAAAATTACACGAAGCAGTCAAATTGACTTGAAAAGGTTGCGTACTGTTGAAATATGGAATTGTAGTCCCCGCCATCTTCAAGTTATCGCACCCGAGAAAGAAAAGTAGGCCATAGCAGAATAGGCAAATTGTGTTGGATATTAAGACGAACTGAACGGCCCCTTTTGGACGCAGTTCCATTTTTTTCAGTATCAAACCGCCCATGAAGATACCAATGCAAGCTCCAGGTATAGCGATGGAGCCTGAAAATCGTTTTTATATCACTTCGGTTTTCAAGCTAAAAATGCACACTTACCAGTGAATACACTTGCTTGACTTTTTCCTAAACTGAATTGTGTCTCAAGATACTTAGGAAGGAAAACAACGAATCCCGAAACTATTATCAGCTCCATACATGCGCCTAAGCAGGTCACCATGTAAACGGGATTCGACGCCAATCTCCACATAGATCTAGGAATATCTAGGCGAAAAACGTATAGCTCAAAATAAACACTAATTTCTCTAAACTTTAAAATTACCTTTAATATCTTTTCCGTAGGCATTGTCGTCCATGGTATTTGTATTAACTTGTTTGTCTTTATCTTTATTAGCTGCACTAGTACCGGCTCCATTTGCCGCCGCCTCTTTTTCCATCAGACGGATCTTCTCTTTCTCATGAGTAAGCACTTTGGGAAATGAGAAAAATGGAACGGCCACTATTACCAGCAGAAATCCGCAGAGTAAAAACCCTCCCCACCACATGCCAACCCATTTGCTGTCTCCAGCATTAATTGAAATTATTTTCGAAAATGAATCCATGTGGAAGGAGAGCAAATATGCGCCCAGTAGAAAACCAAGAACTGGACCAAACGCTGCCATGCTGTACATGCAACCTGCAAGAAAACATATAAACTCATTTAAACTGACGTAAATTCAAAATACATTTTGAACCGTTGCCGAAAGATGAGTTATTAAATTTCAATATGCTCTAAAAATTTTGCATTTCCGCTTTTTTGCAACTTTAAAACTATGAAGAATTACTGAGAAGGCGTTATTAGGAAATTACAGCTCTTGGGCCGCTCTATCAACACGCTGTTTGCAATTATCCCGATGTTTTTACCGCTTCCGAGATGTAACTGATGTATGTTTCAAAATTTATCAAATATTAGTCAGGAATGTTGCTTGGCGTCTGAGTCTAGAAATAGTTATCAGATATAAGCCATTTCACGTTCGGATCTCTTCAATAAAATCAGCGACAGCTGATAGGTAAAAGATCATTACGACTGTTTCTATAGTTTCAACAGTTTCGGGGATGTAACGTGTTTCAGCGGCACTTAAAATAAGGCGATTAAAAAAAAATTACTCGAAAATACAGTTTAATTAACGCCCTTTCACTTCCTACAACGGCCGCGGTGTTTTCAAAGGTCTTAAATCTGAATCGACTCAAAACAGAGGACATTTTAGCTCCCATTTCAAAATCTTTATAAACTAATGATTCTCCTGAATTTCTTTGGAAAAGCAGTACCTTAGAAAAACTCTTGAAACGATAATCAAATGCAAAAATGATTACCTAACTAAAACGTTTATTTCAGAAAAATTGTGAAAGTGACCAACACAAAAGTTGTTTAATTTTACTCAAATTTTTTAAATCTGAATTTAAAATAAAAATATAAACCATGGACATTTGACGTAGTCTTTTTTTTTTATTGAAACACCCTATATAGGTCGAGTGGATTTCTTTTCCCGATTTCCGAAATATACATATTCCCTATATTTGTATTAGCCGTATTTTCTGTATTATTTAAAAAAAATTGAAATAGCAACAAAGTAGCCTTAAAATTTGATAAGGCGCTATCTCCACCCCATAACGTCCGCGCGGTAGCACTTTTTTTTAAATGAAAATGTCTTAATTGGACCAGCCAGCGGGTCCTATCCAATGGCCTCCAAATAGCCCCTACCTAACGCCTTTTGATTCTTTTCTATGAGGTTATTTAAAGAATATGGTGTATGATACTTTAGTTAGACGTCTTAAAATAGTGGATGCAATTAACGATATTAATATTAATCAAAACTAATATATTAAAAATTTTATCTATATAATTCGAGTAGATTGTAGAGCATGTCTAGAGTCAAACGAAGGTTATATACAAAATCAGTGATTTTAATGATTTTGTTTTTCTCTTTTTTATTTGTTTTCACATTTATAGTAGCAATAAACTCCGTTATATTCTCTCTATAGTTTTGTGTCATTTCAGGTTACTTTAGTTTGTTGCTATTTAAAATTTTGAAAACATAATACAAAAAAACCGTTAACACAAATATAGGCAATATATATATTTCTGAAATTAGGAAAAAACATCCCATCGACGTGTCTAAAAATATATAGGCTGTTTCATTTAAAAAAAGGACTATGTAAAATTAACATTTATGTGTTTTATATTTTTATTTGAAATTCAGGTTTAAAAAATGTGAGTAAAATTAAACAACTTTTGTGTTGGTCACTTTCACAATTGTTTTGAAATAAACGATCTAGGAGGGGTGTCAACTTATGAGGAAACACCCTGTACATATAGGAAATACGATAAGTAATTTATGATGGTGAGAAAAGTCCATCCATTCTATTTGGATGTACAATATCCGAATGAAATATGGAAATCAAATCAATATCTGACTGGAAAAAATAATTCGCAGTTTCGAGGCTCTTAATGAAAATTGCAATTAGAACATTTTCAGAAAGTATTTGCTAAACGTTTAATTTAGCATTAAAGTTGGAGTAATTGCGATAAGGACTCACCAATATAAATAGAAGAACTTTCAGATCTAACATGGTCATCAATGTAAGTGGTCCCTAGGGTGAAGAGGGGAGACCCTCCACAGCCTAAGAGAAGTTGGGCTAAAACGAATAGTAATACGGGTCCAGTCGTTGAAGGAGATCCCTGAATGCAGTTGTCTCCACGAATATTATTAGGCGCTAAAGGTGGTGAAGATAAACTTGAAGATAACCGTCCCAGTCCCATATCCTGTTCATGAACAGTCACTACGCGACACATATTATCTTCACTGTTATTCACTTCAGTCACTTCAATATTTTCATCCGCTATAAAGTGCGGAACCATAAATATAAGAGAACCTATCCCCATTATAACCGCTCCAACACCGATCCATACTGGTATATGCCGGCGGCTTCCCAAGTAACTTACAAATATCACTGTTATCACATTTCCAATTTCATAAGAAGATGCCACAAGCCCCGAAAGGCTTGAAGGTATCTCAAAACGTTTTTCAATTGTTGTTATCACAGAATTGATATATCCAGAACTTAGCGCTTGTTGCAGAGTGACCAGGAAAGACAGCAGCAAAACGAAAAACTGAAAAAAATAACAAACGGACTTAGTAAAAAATCAAAACGGGCCAGAAGTAAAATTGGACAAAGCGGAGGTTGCACTAAATTGGCTTTGGGAATAAAATCTTTCGTGTTTTGATTTACTTGTATCAAAAGCTTATTCTAGATCTTTTGAAGTGTGTTACTAAAACTGTAGATGCTGTAAAAGCAGAGAAAGTTCTCATTGACCATGAGGAGGGTTGAAAAGTACAATACATATATCAGAAGCGACTGCTTCTTCAAACATTATTATTATTCGTCGCTAGTCATTCTCCGTTTAGAATTGTAGACACTTCAGTTTTCAAATCAGTCGAGCTGTATTATGCTTTCTTATCTAATAATTTACCTTTATACTAGCCAAACTTTGTACACAGGAAGGTCTAAAACCAAGTATGCCGCAGTCCTTTAAATCTCTCAGTATCACAGGTGGTTCGTTGGTTCGGCCCATAGTTCCGACAGCCGAATGCACAGTCCTATGAGGGTCAAATCCTGATGAAGGATTTCTGCTATGACACTTAACAACAGTGTCAGTACCATGACAAAAAGCAGTGGTACACTTGGTAGTGCCAAGATCATCAGAACATGTTTCAGCGTGTTCCTCTGGGATACTTTCCGAGTACAATCCGGTCATAGCATACATTGACTCTTGCCGCCTGCGAAAAAAAAATGTTCCATGTACCTACATATTGACCAGCTACGGTTCAATTAATAAATGAAAGTTGCTTGTTCAAGAAAAAAAAAACAAACCTGCCTGAATGCAGGTCGATATCAATGGAATATTTAAAGCAACCATAATTGACGTTATTCTACAAGGAAATTTACAGTGGGATCTATGTTATGCCAAACTCATAATTTAGTTTCCAAACTTGAAATTCAATAGGACATTAAAAATGAAAGCGAAATTCGATTGGCTGGAACTTCACAGTTCATTTCAGAACGATATTCCAATCAATATTGGGGTAGACATGCGAGATCTCGAAACTATTCAACTTTTCCAAACCTACACATATTGATCAAGTAAAAAATTTAAAACCTGTTTCAGAAACGCTCTACATTTAGCCTCAAACGCTCTATAAACAAAGCATAAATGAACGGCCAGTGACATGGTAGTTAATGGCTTTATATTTATTGTTAACCTGCTGGGAATTAATGCTTAACCTGGGAATATGGGTCAAAATTGGACCGTGCATATTATTCACTCTGTCGTTTAAATTTATATTAATTTTTTAAATAAATAAATTGCTCACAAAAATAATTCAACACGGGGTGATTGATTGGTCAAAGGTGACTCAATGGCATTAACAGTTTCAGACTGTAATTTTTTATAATTTATGTAACTATTAACGTTAGTTGTTTTTGCAATAACATCAATTCTTGAAATGAAAATACCGAACTGGACTTGAGAAGCAAAAAACCACGGTAATTACTGAAATAAACGAATCGAATTGATTTCTAATGGAGGATACTGAAAGATTATCCTGATGAAAACAAAAATATTTGTGAAAAGTGCATACAGTTGCTCCTGCAACTTAATAACTTTCCAAAATTAGAATACTTATACATGGAAAGCAGTTACAAAAGCACACAAAAAACAAACAAGCACTATTTGATAAATTAACCAGTTTTAGAATTTTTTCTTATGTTTCTAGATTCTATTATCAACTTTTATTTCTTAAAATTCCATCAATTTGACTGTCCTCCATTTCGAAAAGCTTCTCACACTTAGCTTATGATTTTCATTCATTTGTTTCATTTATGTACTAAAGCAATAAAATTAATAATTGGAGCACCAGTCGTAAGTCTAAGTAAAAACATTTACTGCAGGATTTTCAATCAAATATGTGTTTACTTAAGTAAATCTCTTGTGAATCTCGGTTTCTGTTCATTCTATAGACAGTCCCTTTACTAGAAATTAAATTGTTTTTAAAATATGATGTAATTAAGTCGCGACTGGTATTTTTAAGATAACAATAAATTATGCAGTATGTTTTCAATATGCCATACTTGAAAAATCTTCATATTACTTTACAACACCTTGTAAATGTTCAATTAATTATTTTGCTGACCTTTTATCAATCACTATCAACTAATACATGAAATACTATGAATATTTCCATTAAAAGCTGATCTTATTTGTAAATACACTCAAGAGCTAAGTAATTGAAAATAGATCGTTAAAAGTGTTACATCAATGCATCAAGCATATGAAATTGTGATTTTACCGCACGAATGGTAATTTCATTTAATGGATTTCACGAAAACAGTTAAATAAAAGATGTATTTTAAAAATGATATTACATAATATATTTATTTACATCGCGGAATTTCAAAATAATGTTGTTGATTTATAAATCCCATCCAGATTACTTTGTTCGAGAAAAAAACTTTTACAAGTCTGATTTTTATATTTTCTGCAAAAAAACTGACAGAAAAATATATTTGTCACATAACACCATGATAAATCGCTTTGGGGACTTAAGAATTACTTAGTGATTCAGCAATGCGAATAAATTCACTGCACTTTGAACTCTTAACGATATTCAAGTGCTTTCACTTAAAGCAGTAATGTTGGCATGAAAGATCATAATAAAAGAACGGTCGCGATATCGAAAATGTTTGCTTGATAGACCTCGGTATAGATTTCAAGAGAATTTGAAATGGTCACACAAATATCACTCAATTTCAACTGCATTAATCCCCTGGTGTATATTTGTTCACATTGTAGTCCTTGCTCATCAAGTCAACTCCTTTTTGTATTTACTGTTTGTATATAAAGTAATAAAATATATACAGGGTAGTCCATAGAAAACAAAACAGCGGTATTTTTGGATATTTTGAATCTTGCAAAAAATGCTCGGACTGGTAAACTTTATCCTCAAGGGGGACACATTATAGAAGAGCACATAGACACCATACAACACCATAGAAATTGGGTTCGGTTAGTTTTAATATCATGGGGTCAAGTAGTACTTATATTGTTGGAAAGGTCCTCGATTCGTGTTAAAATGATGCAAATCGATTAACTATGATTCAACATTTTTCAATGTGATCAAATTGGCTACAAGTGGAATGTTTTGTTAAAATTGCAAATAAAAAGAAACGAATAATAACACATTAAGTAATAAAAATTTATTTCCTTTGAAAAGATGCTCAAATTGTTAATCACCCGCTGCCATACAGCAATATATACAAGTTTTTCCAAAACAAATCTATTTTGAAACATCTGTGGGTTTTTCAGACGACAAAATCATCTTCATTCAATTGGTGTACTACATGAAGCTTGTATGGATGACTCTCATTTGAATAGTTGATCTAGCGATCTTGCTAATAGTATATAATTTATTCACGTTCAAAATTGGGTCCACCGCTATTTGCTTTAAGATTTCAATTTCGGAAGACTTATTTCTAAGTGGAAATTCATGTTCAGAATGGCATTTTTTCTTGAGAGCTGATTCAGTCAGTTGGAACTTTGCAACTCCTTGCCAACATGTTTGTTCGGAGGTCGTTCATTAAACAAACGTGCAGTACGAGTTTCTCTGTCCTTTACAGAGTACACTATGTAAAATTCATCTTTTTGCATTTGCCTAAGTTATGGACTTTTATTTAGCGAATTTCTGAAGTTCATTCGGTGTATAATATTTCAATCACTCAGTGCAATAACTGTGTTGACCTTATACAATCGCCTTTCTACACCTCTGATAAGATACAAATACACTTTACTTGAACACTTTACAATCAACAGTAACTACCGACTAGTTTATTAATTTGTAATTTAATCCTATTTGTTTAAATCTATTTTATCACATTTCCCAAAAAAGTTAGTCAATTTGAGCATCACTATAACGAGAGTCGAAATACCTTTTCAAGACAACTCGACTTTCCAAACTGCTTCTTCCTTGACTCATCCCCGGATAAAGTGTTCTTAATGTGTGCCCCTTGAATATAGTTTTGTTTCCGGGGGACCAACTTGTATAAGTGTAGAATATCGAGTAAAAATTCGACATGGGAATGAAAACCAACGATTAAATGAAGATCTAGGATTCTGGCATCTTTAAATAGAGTAATGACTAGAAAAATAGCACTGGGCGATCTGTTTATAAATATTAGCGCAATTCGAATTAATTCGTTCCGGCACTTCCTGGACTTACAATCCAGGAAGCGCACTTCTGTAGATCTACTATGTAAATAGTTTCGTGAATTGCAGGCATTTCAGTGTTGTAAAACGCACAAAACGTAAACGTAACTGTTACATTTACCAGCTTACTAATGTTATTACGTGTAAGCCAGATATCTATTAAAAAATCAGCTAAATTTGCTTCTGCTAGGCTTAAAATGAGTCACCTGACAGATAACAACTTATAAAAGTCTGTAGTAAAATGCAATTGCAAATAAAATGTTTGTTTACATTGATATCCTATGGCTGGATTGACATGAAGAATATTTTTCAATT